TTATAAGGAATATGATATTTGTTAATGCATGCATCAATGATCTTTCTAAATGAACATATTCAATATTCTACAAACATTTACTTCAACTTTACTTTATACTTTATATGCACATCTGCTTATGTGAGGATCACAATCAACAAGTTAAGACACCTTTGATCGATATTGCTCTGCGGCTCCCATTGATACAACGGTTAACGATCTATACATCACAATTGTCTAGGGTGAAAAAACCGTTGTTTCTGGTCAGTATTATCTCATTGACACAAATTTTAGCAATGAAAACATCACAATTGTATAAGGAGGTAATCTCTAGTTTACACGCTTTTAGCCAATATTATACTGTCAGTACAGCAGTTAGTGATCTAACCATCACAATTGTTTAGGATAGTAGAAAAACTCTGCGCTCGCAGGTACGCTAACGCCTCTTGCTTGTACTATTAGGAGGCTTAATTTTTATCCGAACATGCACATACAAATATTCATATATAAACTATTTAATTTTGAATAATATACATTATTCTGAGACATCGTTATGCATCTACTAATATGCATACTTATTCTGCTGTGCAACTATTCATCAGACATAACTTTCACATCATTCATATATCTATCTCATGCATATCTCTTACTTATATCATTCATATCTTTCATACATGTCTATCTTAAATATAATGTTTATCTAAATTTCATTCATCTTATGCATATCTTTCATTCAAACACATCTTTTTCAATTATGCTTATTATGCATATCTTTTCTATTTAACAATATGAAAGATCTGATTAAACTAGGGCATACATGAAGTCAAATATGTAATCTGAAATAAAGAAGATTACTAAAATTTAGAAATGTAATTAGTCACCTCAGTTGCCATGCTAAACTCTTAATCTTCTATAGTTAGTTGGAGGTTCGGTGATTTTTATGTTGAGATTAATAAACTATAAGACATAATATTAAGTTTAAGACTCAAGTAATTTATGTTAATCAAATTAATCATTATTCTGAGACATCGTTATGCATCTACTAATATGCATACTTATTCTGCTGTGCAACTATTCATCAGACATAACTTTCACATCATTCATATATCTATCTCATGCATATCTCTTACTTATATCATTCATATCTTTCATACATGTCTATCTTAAATATAATGTTTATCTAAATTTCATTCATCTTATGCATATCTTTCATTCAAACACATCTTTTTCAATTATGCTTATTATGCATATCTTTTCTATTTAACAATATGAAAGATCTGATTAAACTAGGGCATACATGAAGTCAAATATGTAATCTGAAATAAAGAAGATTACTAAAATTTAGAAATGTAATTAGTCACCTCAGTTGCCATGCTAAACTCTTAATCTTCTATAGTTAGTTGGAGGTTCGGTGATTTTTATGTTGAGATTAATAAACTATAAGACATAATATTAAGTTTAAGACTCAAGTAATTTCTGTTAATCAAATTAATCTTCTTAACTTATGATTAATTTATCTGAAAGTTACAGGGTTGCTTTACAGTGAATGTCCACACTCAGCTCGAGTCTTCCGCCCTGATATACAACCTATAATCCACAACTAACTTTAGATTTAATGATATTTTGGCTAAAAAGGTAATTTAACAAAAAATATAAATGATTTGCTAAAACATACCTGAAACAATCTTCTTGGTGACCAACTCTCCTCCAAAGCTGCAATATTTTTTTCTCTTTTTCTTAACACGTCAAATCTCCTTTCTCCTTTGTTGAATTCGTTTTAAAATCCTTACGAAACTCGCAAAAGACTTTCGTTGCTTCTGACACACAATCAACACCTTCGATAGCTACCGGAAAGGAGAAAGCATGAAAAAGAGACAAAAGTTAAAACCAAAGAGTGAGGAAGAAAATGAAATCTTAGAAAGGCGAGAGAAAGGAATTCATACTCTTAGCTTTCACCCCAAAATCTTAAATTGCGAGCTATGGCACCTAGGGGGTCGATCGATTTTCTTGCAACCTGTTGCTATTCATTCCTTGCAATGTAGCAAGGGTCACAACCTTGCTACAGGGGGCCTAACAAACTCCTTCGCACAGGGAGAGGGATTGTGAGAGAGGGGATACAGAGAGGGGAAGTATGCGAAACTCGCTTGCCCTAATCGACTGATTGAATGAATTAAAAGGGGTGTAAGTCGGTGGGCTACAAGAAACATGTGGCATATCAAGGATAATTAGGTTTTAATTTTGTTAAACTTAGAGCTTCAACTTTTAATATCCCCAAGCCATTCAAAATTAATATATATTTCTTTATATTGAATTGCTCGATTCGACGCGTAAGATTTTATAAAATTATTTTCGAAATCCCACCGATCTGAAAATTGATGTACATTGTATGTTGCAAAAAATTTATATGAAATCTCACAAAATGGGTTATTACAGTGTAATCCGAAATAAGCTATAATTATGAGTACTTGTTGGTTCTGATTTAAGACAAGAAATCATACATTAAGCTCATCATTCTTGCTATGCAATTCATTCATACAACACTAAAATGTATAATATTTTGAAATTGATATTCTGGTGGCCGGGTATGAAGAAATATATTGCTCAAGATGTATCTCAATGTCAAGCTTTTAAGATTTTAAAAGCTCAGTATCAAAGATCTATGGATTACTGCAATCATTGCCAATACTTGAATGAAAATGAGAAGAAATTATTATGGATTTTATTATGGGATTTTCTCGATCCTGATGTGGTCACGACAATTGCAGTCATTATGGATAGATTAATAAAGTTAGCTCACTTTTTGCCAATCAGACACAAATTCAGTAAAAATGTTGGCTAGGTTCTATGTCAAAGAAATTACTAGATTGCATGGTATTCTAAAAGTTATCACTTCTGACAGAGATAGGAGATTTACATCCATGTTATTGGAAGGCATTCACCAAGGTTTGAGTAGATAGTTGCATTTTAGCATTATATTTTATCCACAAACTAACGAACAATCAGAAATAACAATTTAAATATTGGAAGATTTGTTGTGGATTTTTGTTCTCGATTTTAGAGGCAATTGGGTAGATCACATTTCAATGATCGAGTTCGCTTAGATCAATAGCTATTAATTAGTCTAGTATCAAAATGACTCCTTATGAAACACTGTATGACAAGAAAATGCAAAACTTCAGTAAGTTAGGTTGCAGTAGGTGAATGTCAAATGTTAGGTCTGAAGTTAGTTGATGAAAACCATAGAGAAAATCAGATTAATCATAGATGAAAAGTTGTTCATGATTGACAACTGGAATATTATGACCCAAAGGACAAAACCGTAAAATTTGAAATGAGTGATTTCGAATTTTTGAAAGGCAGACTAATGAAAGGTACATTCAGATTTGGTCAAGGGAGTAAGTTGACTCCTAGGAATATCGGTCCTTTTGGAATGATTGAAAGGATTGAACCCTTTGCTTACACGCTAACACTATTGGATGATATGTTAGATATTCATGATGTGTTTTACATTTTAATGCTGAGAAAATGAGTTTCAATTTAAGAGAAGAGGATTTCACATAAAAAAATTGATGTGCCAAAAAGGCTAACTTATATTAAAAAACCTGAAAGCATTTGAAAAATTGATAATAGGAAGCTGAGAAACAAAAAATTTTCCTTTTCCAAGTTAAAATGGAAGCACAACTCTAAAAAAGAAGTCACATGGGAAAAAAAAGAAATGCAACAAAAATTTCCATCTCTATTCAAATAAAGTCAGAAATTTAGAGGATGAAATTATTATAAGGAGGTAAGAGCTTTAGTACCCCAAAATTGATAACTAGATAAAAATTTGACAAATTTTAAAAGTACCATAAATTTCTCACTTCTTAGAATTAAATCAAAATATTTTTTAAAATTACACATGAAAACGGTCAATTTGATATAATGGACTATATATTATTTTTAAATAGATTGGGAGAGAAATTTTTGAAGCTATAAATATAATAACCTTAATTAAACATTATTTTTATTCCTTGATCTCCCGCATGTTTACTGTTCCCTTCCTACTCCCACACTTCATGTGCATGCAAAGACCTGATTAGATCGAATGAAATGAAGATAAGAGAGGATCACAATAAAATGCCACGTCCCTATTCCCTCTCTCGTTTCCTTCTCCACTCGTGAGCTCTTGTACGACCCTGCACTATAGCTGAGTTGCAAATTGAAGCTGGTGTGTGACTTGTCGAGTACCGCAAATGGCATTTCAGGGCTTCGGGGTGATTTTAGTGAGTACAAACCTCTTCTTAGCAGCATTTGTGACATTCCTTTCCTTTGTTTTCGTTTTGATGTGCCACAAATTTATGCAATTTTCATTTTTGGTAGTCGTAGCAGGCATCAACAATACGTCGGAGCTTCAAACTTGGTTTTGCAAGCTTTCTTAAATGCTATTAGCATGATTTCTACAAGGGTAAGGGAAGATTGAGGTGTCAGGAAGAAAAGGGGAGAAGAATAAGCGGTATCGGAAGTGGATTTATGCTGGGAACCCCAATTCCGGTATGTTTTGGCAAATAAGTTATGTTTTTTTATTAAATCAGAAAAAACGAGGTATGATTCCATGAATTCGTATGATGTCCATGATCTCCAGGTTGTTTACACGAGATGATGAACTCGAGGCGAGCGTGTGGGAACTCGTCTTATGACTGCTTCGTCTAATCAGGTGAACTAATGTCGTGCTAACTTGAAAAAAAACTTGTCTATT